TAAGTCTTAGTTCTTAGTCTTAGTTCTGATTAAAAAGTCTAGCTTTGCAATCTTTTCCTTAAGTCTATTAACAATCAAAGCATTGCACGCGTCCAAAAGATCGGTATTAATCTTACAAGGTAAATTAGGACTAGAAATAATATAAAATCTAGGTATAATTCTATGGATAGAGCAAACTTTTAAAAAACGAATGTGATTCACTTTCCTGACCAACAATTTCTTGGTGTTTGTATATAATGCCGAATTCCGGAAATAATGAAAAATACCTCACGAAATCCTTCCAACTAACTTTTCCTTGGAAATGGAGAGTCATACCACAATATTTCATTAAGGAATTATTCTAAACCCATTTTTTCTTTATATCTTCGAAGTTAGTACGGTTTCCACTCTGAATTCGAAATTATATACAGAAACCTAGAAATCGTTGGCCAGGCAAATCAAACACATTCGTTGTTTTAAGTTTGCTCTATCCATACAATGATAACTAGATTTTGTATTATTTCTAGACCTAATTTAATTTGTAAGATTGGAACCGATCTTTTGGAAGTGTGCAAGATTTGGTTGATAATAGACTTAAAGAAAGGATAGGAGAGCTAGATTTTTTAATCAAAACTAAGACTAGACTTAAGCAAATCTTGTCCGGTGCTCTTAGTTCTAAAGACCTGAAACTCCAAAGTAAAGTGGATAGTTTACATGACAAGATTTTCCAACAGTTTTGGAAGACATATGATAAGAAATTGAGAAATGTGAGTATAAGAATTAGCTCAAGGAAACGACCTACATCTAATTAATTGAAGTGTAAGGAAAGCCGTTACCAAAAAGTGGTAAATCTGTCACAACATTTTGCGGGTTACACGGGATTCACGTCAAAGCGTAAGATTTGTGAGTCTACATAAATTAATAAGAGAGCCAACGCCCCTAATAGGAGACACGAGTGTAGAAAACGAAGTAGGAACTATTTGTGGATGTTGGATAGACTTAAGGAAAGGAAGAGAGGGGGTGCTGAAATAGCCATTGATTATATAGAGAAAACGTTGGAGGCATAAGATGAGGATACAGCATACGACTATAATTAGGGACCCGATAGAAGGCTTTAACATCAGACATAAGAGTCTTCTGTACAATGTGTAAACAGAGGAGAAGTGGAAAAGTGGATAATAAATGAACTTCCCAAGTGAGATGCTAGATCCCCAAATGCATATGGCCTGTCCAAAATCCATAAGCAAGGTACTCCACTTAGGATTATTGTAGATAATAAAGGTAGCGCGATTTGTATGTGGCTATCATCACACATTACTTATTTCTACTTGCATAGTTTTTATGCAAACCTCTTTAACATGAAATTCATACACCACATGTCCTTATCAGTCATATCTTGTCTCTTATTTCGAACGCGTCAGATTTTGTAGCTCCTACCGATGAAAAAAATTTTCTATTCTGTTTTGGTGTATGTTGGCCATAATTTATTTATATGCAATGTATTCACCCTATTTTGTTTAATGTGATGAAGGATTGGTAATATAATTTTCCCACAATGATATGAGTTATGCTGACGTTTCCAGTGAATTTCGCATAGCCTTGCTTTCCCAAAATTTGTTCTCATCCAGAGTGGACTGCAGTTTCGACCTCGCTTAGGTCTTATCAACGCCCTCAGCGGGAGTCCAACCGTGACAGTGCAGCATGTGAGCTCCACACGTTAACCATTCGTTCACATGACCACCAATGCCATTGGGTCAGAAGGTAGTTGTGAATTTTATCACCTTAAATGAAATATGGTGAATATATTTCACATAATTGAGTTATTGGTAGTCTAGGCATTCTGTTTATATACTTAAAATAATTAATGCAGTGATTGTCATGGCAAAAATACGTTTGCCTTATCGGCAATTCCACCAAAGAATCTGATATGGGAAAAGACCTGACCTTCTTTGAAATGCGTATCTGCCCTGTGACTCAAGGGCACTTGCTGAAATGTGGCTGAGTGGTTAACGTGTCAAGCTTACATGCTACACTGCCATGGTTCGACTCCCGCTGGAGGCGTTGCTAAGACCTAGGCGAGGGCGAAACTGCAGTCCACCCTGAATGAGAACAATTTTGGGGAAAGCAAGGCTATGTTAAATTCAATGGAAACATCAGCCATACTCATATCACTGTTGAAAATTCTTCTACCAGTTCTTCATTACCTTAAACGAAATAGGGTAAATACATATCATTATTAGTAGTGTTAAAACTGTTTACATACGAAAAATATGTAAGTTATATCCCTCACCTCTCCTAATGACAGCCTCCGCTTCGCCATGCATTATGTCGTTCTACAAATATAAACTTATACGATTTTGATAATATTTATTGGCTTTATCTTGAAATAAATGGTATTCTGATCTACATTGAAAAGTATTTTTGCGGTTTTTGCACTCTGAGTGTGTTGCCCAAATCTTTTGTTTTTTTATTTTATTAGAAAAGTCTAATTACCTTGTTGATGAGAACATTCGTGTACGCTTCCCTCTGATCGTGGCATACCGCTGGCTTGGATTCTCCACAGACCTAATGGGTGCTATCATTGTACTCACCCTTTCGTTGGCAATCGTTGCAACTGCCTCCACCATCGGGCCTGGCTTTGCCGGTCTTGCTATTAGTTTCGCACTCCAGGGGACCAGCACACTGGCTTTTGTAGTGCGGACATTCTCGGATATTGAGATGTCAATGGTCAGCGTGGAACGCATCGAGCAGTATTCCAATTTGCCCAGTGAAGTAAATTTCGATTTTAGAACTCATCCATCTCTTTTTGATTCATGCATCCTAAATAAGCACACAGAAAATTGGATTAGAACTTGCTATGAATAGCTGTGCAACTAGTCTTGCAATCTGGAGACTATCCACTACGCTTAGTCAACTCACCCGGCTCAGTTATAAAAAAAATTAGTTGGTGCCTTCGAATAGCAATTTAACCATATTAATTCTGTTATCTTTTTTGTGCAGTTTTATTAAAAGTTTATGCAAAGAATAACTGGGCTTCGATGAAGGGCTTGTGTTTAATCTGAAAGTTCATGCTGAAGAGATTCGAAGGTCGACCTGACCAGAAATTGACAACTGATTATCGTTGTATTGCAGCCATTTTGCTTTCATTCGACGTTTTGGTTGACGTAGTCCACGAGACACTCCTCGTTTCGGATAGAACGGTCTAAACTTTCTTCCATCACTATCAGGGTCAGCATGAATCTTCCAGTAAAGCCAATCGACAGCTGGTCAAAATGAATTCGCCGTCGTCTTCTGGTGGAACC